GTGGCGATGTTGCCACGAATACTCGCCGGGCAGTGTTCCTCCTTTCTTATGTTCTTATGACATTCCTCAGGTCACGTGCGTCACACTTCACTCTCCGCCTATATATATAATGTCTTTCTACCTCTGTATGTTAGAAGTGATCAAGGTCCCAGGACCAAAACGTTTTCTAATAAATATATTAGTGTTTGCTTACGTGTCTTTCTAAACCAACTTGTCGGTATTTATTACCAAGGTTTATACCATTAAGAAACATTACACAACATTCTCTTTATTCTTGCTTCATAAGCCATTAACATTGACAGTCATACACCGAAGGCCTGTTAAATTTCCACCCCTGCTCTTCTCATCACTTTTCACCACTAGAATTAGTATTTCTGTAGGTTATCTTCACAAAACCGTCTTTCCCCCCTCCCTTCTTCCGATGTCTCCTATCATGACCTCCCCCATCGCCACCTCTTCCCTCTCCTACCACCCCAGTCTACTTCCCAGGCCTCTGCGCTGGCGTCAGTACATCTGAGTCTGAGGTAGATGCCCGTTTCCTTGTTACAATCATGTCCCCCATATCATGGTCTGGGGAAGCCTCACGGTGAATCTCAACATCCACCTTACAATGATTTTTTTTATATTTTATTGAAAAACTCTGGTACACAAACAGGAAACAAATAGACAAAGTAACACAAAATAAAAATAAAATGGACACAAGTCCATACAGATCCACACAGGTCAGCTTATTGTAAAACGTGTCAACCACACACAAACCCACAACTACCTAGAAAGGTAGTTCAAAACATTACATTGGGAAAAAAGAAAAACCTTACAGAATATATATTGAATTTCTGAAAAGTCCCACCAAATACAAACTAAAAAAAACCTGTTAAATAAACTACACAACCTCATGTTTAGGAAAAAAAAATAGGAAAACAATCGATACAAAAAAGAAAACCTCAAATACAAGGAATGTAAAACATATACGCAAATAACAAAGATGTGATAAAATTAAAGTCTCTTCTTTCCAAGTAAAGAATTCCTGTGGAAAACATTGAACATTGTTCCTACATTCAGCAATATATGTTTCAGAAAAGTACATAAACAGTATATAAAAGACATACACACGTAACAAACACCCACCTCTCCCCCCAATACAACCCAGACACACAACAATTCTTACCCCATCTCATCTTTCAGGTTACATATCTAGGGTCCCTACCTGCATGTCAAGACAAAATACATTAAGTTACACCATACCACAATCATTAACATATTTACTTATAAGGTAATCTTTTAGCTCATTGTGGGACTAAAAGAAACCTTTACATTATATATATAGAAACATCCTCATAGATCACAACCAAAACAAGACAAAAATGCAATACCAATCCCCATTGAGAGTAAAACTCTTGCAACCCCACTCCCCCCAAAAGCACTCCCTCGTGAACGAAAACTCCTCATCAGGCATACACCACGCATACTCCATAAGTCAATTTCCCTGGGAGACTAGCCCGTTTCTACCCCTGAACTACAGTCTCCACAAATCCCCCAATGTAAAAACTTTGTAGCCTTCCATAAAATCTCGCTCCCACCTACCTCTGTATATCTCTTTATTACGACACTTAGTTTTATAAAAAGTTGCTGCTAACGCCCCTAGTCTTTCCCGAACCGTCCTTTCCCGTAACATCCATGATATGTAAACAAAATCAACAATTATGTAAGCCATCGCCTGTTGAACCCTGTCCTCCACCCCACCCAGATCCAAACTTAAAACCCTTAGAACTGACAATCCACTCCCCCCCACCAATCGACATACTCCCCCCAACCATTCCCTCACGACACCTAAACGGTCACAAAAATAAACAGCATGGAAAGCAGTCTCTTCCTCCTCCCAATACGAACACGCGCCACTCTCTCGTATTCGTCTGTTCTTTAATACCGTCGCTGATGGTAGAATGTCATGTAAGAATCGGAACATCACTTCTCTTACACACAACCGCCGCCAAATGCTGTCCCACGCATACATGGGGTAAGCTCCCTCCACAGGGGCCGTTATTTGAGACCAAACCCTCTTTTCTACTGATACTATCCTCATTTTCGATGTTGCACCTGCTTGCAAAAATATCTGCAAAATTGCCTCAGTCACAGAGATCCTTCCCTCTCCACCACCTCTGAATATTTTCCCTCACTTTACACAGCCCCCTTCCCCCTTCCCCCTTCCCCCTTCCCCATGCTCTTGCCTGAACACATGCTTGACATAAACTCCCTTTAATCTATTTCCCAGTGAAATTAACCCCAGCCCGCCCTTGGCTACCGGAAGTGTTACTACCTCCCTCCTTAACCAGTCACATCCTGAACTCCATATATACTTATAAACTCTACCCAAAAGCCTCCTTACATCGCCTGTCACCAACGGGTACACTGCAGCAACGTGCCAAATTTTGCTGTATAAAAGTGCATTCACCGCAATAACCCGCTGATGTAAAGACAGGTGAGGCGTCCTCAACCCATTCAAACGTCCCAGCACCTTATTCACAACACACTTTGAATTTTCCTCTGTCGCAAACACCTCATTTGCCATGTACACAATCCCACAAATCTTAAGTCTATCCACCTCTCTCCACCTTTCCCTTTCACACCTCTCGTCCCCCTCTCCTCACCCACCCAAAACTAGTAGTTTAGACTTATCCACATTCACCTTCATACCTGTCGCTGCTCCAAACACATCTACGATTCTCCCCAATCCTCTTAAACTTTCCGTCCCTCTCACTAGAACCGTTGTGTCATCGACATAACCAATAATGTGATGAATGGTTTTGAAAACCGACAAGTTGAAGAATTGAGACACTTATGCAACACATGGGAATCTTTATTGAAGAAACGTTTCGCCACACAGTGGCTTCATCAGTCCAGTACAAAGTAGAAATGGGTAAGGAGAGTAGAAGTTTGAGGTAATAAGTCCCTCAACCTGGAATCGATGTGTTCAGTCCATTACTCTTGTAGGAAGTGCAGCATAGGGCCAGAGAGGTGGCTTATATCTGCGGTGAGACGAGTTGAAGCAGGAGGAGGTGGGATCAGAGTGGGACCTGCCACTAGTGTAAGTAGGTCGTCGTCCATAGGTTGGGCAAGCGTTGAAGTCTTTGTACCAACCTATGTACGACGACCTACTTACACTAGTGGCAGGTCCCACTGTGATCCCGCCTCCTCCTGCTTCAACTCATCTCACCGCAGTATATAAGCCACCTCTTTGGCCCTGTGCTGCACTTCCTACAAGAGTGATGGACTGAACACATCGATTCCAGGTTGAGGGACTGATTACCTCAAACTTCTACTCTCTGCATTGGTCTGATAAAGCTATTGGATAATTATTTCTACTAATATATGTATAACATACACAGACCTAGCTCACATCAATGACATGCTACTATACAGAAAGCCCTTTGTTATGCAGAGCATTTCGGGCAAATCAGATCAATTTTGTCCAAGGATGCGACTCTCACTAGTCGACTAACACCCAAGTACCTATTTTACTAAAAGGTGAACAGGGATAGAAGGTGCCATAAAAAAAATTCCTAGTGTTTCCACCTGTACCAGGAATCGAACCCCGGACCTCAGTGTGAGCTAGTAATAGAGCTACAGGACACCGTCTGGGCGAAACTTCTCCATCACTGAAGATTCCCAGGTGCCAAGCCTTATCAACTTGGCGGTATTATATACCGTAAATGTAATATGTCCTGGACAGCATTAGCGGAAATACTAACTATAAGGGGAAAAGGGGTTTTCCCAGTGATTTGGGTCTGGAGCTTGAGTTGATGACTGAGGCGCAGGACAAACACTGTCACATTTGTCCTGTCTAGGATGGACTGGGTGTGAGGCCATTGGTGCAGGTCCCTCAGTCAGGGGTAGTGATGATAACCGGATAAAATGCCAAAAAATTGTGCTTACATAAGCACGCACTTTGGTCTGATTTTTTTTTATTACAGAAAATTTCTTCCTGAGGTCTTGTGTGGTGGGAGTAATGGAGTGGAAGTATGCATAAATTGATATGAGCGAGGTTGCTTCGTGTGTATGGAAACTAGCGGTAACCTCTAATTCAGCTGCGTTAACTCTGGTTCAAAGGTTTCAGGAGTAGTCCTGGGCAGAGCTGGTTAATGGTTCTGGAGGGGCCAAGAAAATTGTCAAGGGGCCAAAGGATGCTGGGAAGGGGGAGAGGGAGGGTGTGCCCAGCAAGGGCGCGGTGAATATAAGCTATGAGGAAAGAGGTAGGTAAAAACGGTTAAGAGCTCTGTATTGCAAAAATTTACTCTTAACGCTAATGGACTGTGGTAGCACAGCAAGCACGGTTAGCGAGGATGCTCCAGATATGGGATGGTGGCAACGCTTTTTGCAGGAACACTACTACGAGGCCAGACTCTGGAGATCGCAGGATAGGATATGTGACGTATGTTACCCGTATCTTTTAAGGTAGGTATGGCAGTCTTGACAAAAGTCTTGCTTCATCATCCCAATAAAGACGGTGGCGATGGTTGCAACTTCGTGTAGCTGGGGAATGGCAGGTTTGTCTAGTATCTCGTATAAATCTGCGCCAGCAGATAACGATGAAAGTGTAAAACGGCAGTTGGGATTGATTTGGCCATTTGTTGGAAGATGGAGAAGCAAGGTTTCAGTCAACGTACATTCCATATGCACCATATTGGCAATTTTCTGACCTTAGTGATCTTAGCTTATTGTAAGTTAAATACTAGGATCTTGAACAGATACTGTGCGGGAAGTGGGGTTAAGTTATTAATGAGAAGTTAAAGAATACCTAATCTAGTTTAAATTCGCTATTTCAGTATTTCTTGATTAGATACCCTCAGAACCTTTTTTATAGTGCTTTAGTTGCAGCATTGATAACTGCAGTACATAAGCAAGACGTGTGCAACTGTATTTAGATATGCACAGTTTAAGACATTGTTTAGAGAAAAATTTCATTGCATGTCTTATACTGAGTGTTTTTAAAACTGTTGAAGACAAATAAAAGAAAGAAGAATTTGACTTGAGGACGACTTTTCTATCATGGCCAGTAGACCTACTGTTGCTAGTCATGTTCCACGGACTCGTGCAGGTAAGGTTAACAGGCGGGTATATAAAGGTTTGTAGAGGTGAAATAAGCACAGCGACAACTTTTTGATAAACACTAAACCTCTAGCTTTTCCTGTTTCAACAGTCAAAACACAAACCATGTCTAATGTAAACAACGACGTCGTACTTGGGGAGGACATTATCAAGGAGCTGACGGATTTCCAGAATTACAGCGAGGCAGACAATTTTGATTACAGACAAATTGATTTGTCCTTGTTCTGCGAGACAACATTGCAAACTAATTTTGAGGGTAAATATATCCGTGTTACTTTCTCCTTTTCTTTTTCTACTAAAGAAGTCTTCTGCATAGACGAAAAGTTTCAGCTTCATCTTATTGTAAATCGAATAAAATTAGACTTAAGGGTAAGACTTTTTTAACGCGTCGATATAATTTTCTAAGTTTCGCCTGAACAGCTTTGTCAGTCTTCCTCAGTCGAATAAATTGGAAATTGGCATTAATAGATAATTCTTTAAATACGTTACCTTAGCCTAAGACGAAACTTCTATCAAAAGGGTTCTCTGTTAAATCTTAATTTCCACTTGTCGGCTCTTGCCTTTGTCTGCAGATATCTTAAATTTATAAACGGTTATTAGATATAAAAGAGCACTGTCTGCCTTCATATTCCTGCTTGGCATAACTTCCAATTTCTTTTGACAACTTCATTGCTCCAGTTATGTTTAGTGTTATTTGAAACTTGCACACCTTTTTACATTTTCTCCTCAAGGAAGGCTCCTTGACGTTGGAGAGGAGCTTTGAATCTAGGGAATTGGATCTGTGTTCTGGTTCCCTGAATTAAGCCTGAATACCTTCCACCCCCCTCCACTCTCCTTGATTATAATCTACATTGTTTTACAAATCATTGAGATCTTCCTCCTGAATTTGTCTACCTAAATTCTGTATCGTCACTCCATACTTCCAGCCTTGACAATATTTTTCTATACTTTCCAAGTCTACACAGTCTTCTGTTTAAAACTTTTTCGTAGTCCTTACTAGGATTCACTGCCTCGCCTTTATATAGGAACATCTTGCGAATCAATATCGTGACTTTATTCAGATTATAATAATCAAAATCAAAATGAAATGTGCTTCTCGGTCCTTAACTCGTCTATCAAAATGTGAATAAATGAACACGTGTGTGATTCACAATTACATATGTAGTGTCATTATACATCAATGCTAATTGTATTGTTTTTACTTACAAAAAATCTGAAGACTTTGCCTTTATTCTTTCTAGCAGATTCGATAGCAGCCGGAGAGAACCCCAGCCGTAAACACCAGTTTGCGGTTAATAAGGCTTCCTTAATGGAAGGCACACAAGCCTGCTTGATCGTCAACCCCACTAATGTCTCTTCTGGCTATTCTTCAAGCAGCCAGATGGACCAGTCCTCCATAGTAACATCATGGGTTTCCCATCGCCCGACTGAAAGCTCTAGACTTGATATTTACACGTATAGACTGCCTCTCGAAAAAGAATTTGCATCCGATGGCAAAGTTCATAAAGACTCAAGAATTTCTGGTTCACAACAGGTATGCACAAATGTTCCGACAGAGACATGCATGTATCCCGTTCCTGTTGCTCAGCCAAGACTTTATGGTTCTCGACAGATATATACAACAGGGGTTCGGCCAGCGACATCCATGTATTCCTTCCCTTTTCCAACCAGTTGTTTTTCTTCCATCGAGGCCATCGGTTACTCCTTCACTATCCACCGGTAGTATTGATCAAAGACCAATTGACCCACTTGTCAAACCATCGCCTATTCCCTCATTACATTCAAGTGGCGCTTCGTTTGTCGTGCAGCCTGAGGCCAGTTTATCTTCACAGCAGTCTACCTTCGCATCAGCTTCTGTACCCACGTTCTTTTCAAGCGTTCCTTCGATCAACAGCAGCGAAATGCCTCAAATCATCAAAGAGGACCAGAGCGAGAGTAACAGACCAAAAAAACTTAAAACCTGTAGACGTCACGAAGTCACTTGCCCTACTTGTAGTATTGTCCTCGCATCGAGAGGACACCTTATGCAGCACATGAAGTCTCATAACTCTGTTAAACCGTCGGTTTCGTTTGAATTCAATGCCGAACACAAGATGACCTGTCCTACATGTGGCCTTGTAGTCGCAACCAAAGGACACTTGAAGCAGCACATAAGGTCTCATAGTACTAGCACTTCTAATCGATGTTATAAATGTAATTGCACTTTTACCCAGAGATCTAAACTGAGCAGTCATCTTTTACGTGCTCATGGTATATCGTTTAAACGCGTGAGAGCAATTCCGCAAGGATAGCAAATATTACAAACTTACTTCCTTAAGGTTTGTCAGATTTATTTTAAATAAATTCCGTCCCGATGTTTAATATAGAATATATTTAAAATATAGATTTGCTTTAATCAAAATATCAAGAAAATAGAATATTAATTTTATTATGGTGTACCATAATAGTACATCGTATTACAAAATCAATACAGCCATTTAACAAAAAAGATTACGTTCAGCCCACCAGTAGCTTCATTAAGCCGCTTTAATAAAGCTCTTGGCGAGCGACATGTAGGTTTTCTTTCTCATTAGTTGCTCTTCTGTACATTTACCTAAAGTTCCTTTTAGCATTTTTCAAGAAACTTTTAAAATAGTTCATCAGAGCCCGGATTTTTTTTTTCTTAAATCAAACTTTGATCAGGTCTCTAATGAACATTTTATTTTTAAGACTCTCCTAGAAATATGAATTGTATCATCTACAATTGTTAATTTTTGTGACGGGAAGTGTTCACCTTTTAAGTTTGAAGAGGGTCAACATTTCTAATATTTTGACTTTCTTGGATGAGTTAGGTACTGTACTAGCATAATTACATTTAGATTTTATCATTTTTAACCTCCTAATGTGAACATTACGGCATCTGATGACCATCTACTCTTTTGAAAGATCGGTAAATTATTCTCTTCGTCATTTATTTGTGATAATTTGCTTTACCTGTTATTTAAGTCCATTTTACATAGCTTGTAATATCGTCAAAATAACCATTAGTCAAAGTTCTCATTGTACAGCAATCAGCTGCTCCTAAAATAAAACTTTCAGAACTTTGCATTTGTGTCCATTTTCCTAACTGATAATGTTTTTTTTTATACTTGTGTATTACGTATGAAAGATGTGCTCAAGTATCTGCGGATATTGGTCATTTTACGGCATGTTAAAGACTAATTTTCAAAATATTATAAACAATTTAATTCCCCTCATCCATTAGTATTTCGTATTCAACTATGGCTGCGCCGTGAGGCTAGCAAAAACAGGCATAGATTTCTGTTGATGTACAGGGAAATGAACAAGAGGATGCTGCTGCGCGGTCAGCTGTGCATGATCTGCTTAGCGCTTCTTTTTTACTATAATAATAATAATGTGCATGATCTTCCTGTTTTCCATAGGCCTTAATGCTGACAATATGGGTGAAGAGGCAAATCCATTCACCTGAATCCTCTTAACTGCGTAAGTTTTGCCCTGTGACTTAAAGGCGTCAGGTCATATATGATATTGGTTTGGGAATAGTCGTGGATAAGTGGGACAAACTACCAGAGAGCGTCATTGAAGCGAGAACTTTGGTTATATGCGAAAATAGGTTGAACAAATAGACGATTGGATATGGGTGGGTGATAACTGGACCTGCCTATCATGGTCCAGTAACTGTTTTCATTTTTGTTCCTCGATAATCACAAAGAAGATCAATGGGTGGCACAACAAAGTTAGGTGCAGGGTATGAGGTACGTCGTTGAATTAGACACATGTGCAACTCTTGGGTATCTTTATTGAGGAAACGTTTCGTCACACAGTGGCTTCATCAGTCCATACAAAGGAGGAACTTGAAGAACAGGAGGAGAATGAGGTAATCAGTCCCTCAGCCTTGAGTCGATGTGGTCAGTCCATCAATCTTGAATAGAATACGGCATATGAGCGGAGAAGCAGCTTATAAACCGTAGACAGGTGAGGGGCAGCAGTCGTAGGTGGTGTCACATTTGTCCAATGTGGAAGTAGGTCGTGCCCAAGGGTTAGGCAAGTGAAGAATTCCCAAGTATTAAGATCCCAAGAAGTTGCAGTGTCTGACAGGATTGTAGATGAATGGTTCAGAGAACCGACATGTTGTTGAATTAGACACATGTGCAACTCTTGGGTATCTTTATTGAGGAAACGTTTCGCCACACAGTGGCTTCATCAGTCCATACAAAGGAGAAACTTGAAGAACAGGAGGAGAATGAGGTAATCAGTCCCTCAGCCTTGAGTCGATGTGGTCAGTCCATCAATCTTGAATAGAAAACGGCATATGAGCGGAGGGGACCTACTTCCACATTGAAAATGTGACACAACCTACGGATTGCTGCCCCTCACCTGTCTACGGTTTTATCAAGCTGCTTGACACATTAAAATGGTAATAAAATACCGACAGGTTTTTAGGTAAGGACACATATGCAACAGTTAGGTATCTTCATATTTCGAAACGTTTCGGCCTACACAGTAGGCTTCTTCAGCAGTACAGAAAAGGTTGATAGAAGCAGAAGATACTTGAAGACGATGTAATCAGTCCATCACCCTTAAAGTTTTGAGGTGGTCAGCCCTCAGTCTAGAGAAGAGAATTGTTCCATGAGTATGAAACAATATGGAGATGAAGTATGTATCTATAATGTTCGCCAAGACCGTAGTCTGGCACGGGTCTCAATCTTGCGATGACCGTCTCTGGCTCCCGAGGGAGAAAAGGTTTCTACAATGATGCGACATATGCTGTTCAAGCACTTTTCCGGTCAGTTAACTGGATGCAATTCATAAGCGACAACACCGTATGTACTCATAACTATGGACACTAGCGAGGAGGAGGATATGTCGTTATCACAGGTAAAACAGCTTGTCGGTTCGTTGCTCCATGGTACACTAGTGGGCCCAGTCATCTCTGGTTCCTCTTCGGGGGGAATCTCATCCTAGTTGCCTGCGGAGTGTCTCAGTAACTTCCGCACTCCATAAGATGTGTTAGGGGCCGACTGGACAACGTGCTGACAGTACTGGCACATCTCCTCCTCAGCCTTGTCATACCATTCATCTTGGTGTGGGAAAGCCCAACGAAGCCGATGGATGGCGGTTACACTGCGCTCTGGACCAGCTTCTATCACATGGGAGGGGGGTTTCCTGAGTTGCTTGCTCGACCACTGTTGAGATGGGGTATCACCTAGACCTCCCCCATATGTTTCATGGGCTCTGGCAGCCACCAGTTGGTCTGTCGCTAGGCTGATTGGGACAGTAATCCAACATGTGGGATGGCAGTTGCTGCCTTGGCTGCCATCATCTGCGCCTCATTTCCCCGGATGCCAGCATGGCTTGGGGATCCAGTTCAATGTCGATCTGTTACCCTGAACTTATAAGGCTGACATTATGCTCAGGATCGATGTGATGAAGGTGAACATTGTCCTGTGTGGTTGAGGATGGGAGAGGGCAATGATTGCAGACGTGGAATCAACATGTATGACAGGTCGGAGTTCGATGTCATTAGGGATGTGACAAATGCCTGCTGAATCGCCACTAGCTCAGCTTGAAGGATCGTGCAGTGGTCAGGGAGTCGCCAGCTTGTGTGTGACCATTGTGGTACAGTCCAGCTGCTGCTCTCTTCTCTGTCAGGGTCGACAGAACCATCTGTGACAATACACTGCACATGTGCCTCCCTCTGACAGTGCCATGCTTGTCTCAGCATGATTGCTGAGAGTGTCTTGACTTCAGAGTCGCTTCAGTTGGGTAGCTGCATGACGCAACATCGCGCTGGATCTGGGCGCAGGGAGGTGTTGGATGGTACCCAGCAACAGGAATGGTCCACAAAACCCCCCACCCCCCCCCCACTTCTCAAGGAGTAGTTGTATAGGCTGCAGCTTTCCGCCCCAGCAGCACAAAAGAACGAATCCGGGAGTAGTCCGTGAAAGTGTGGGATCTTGTGACTTGGTTGTCAATATTCCGTCTTCTTAGTGGGGTACCTGCTGCCTGTGCAGAATCGTGGCCACTTTGCAGGCGTTTATGTATCTTACTCTGTCAGCCAAGGGAAGGAAGCGGGCCTCAGATCTAGAATACTGTGTTGGTCCAGATGGGGGCCAGGCATAGTTCTTAGCTGGATTTTGTACGACCTCCACTCTTTGCCTTGCTCTGCGGGAAGAGATGAGCTAACGCCGGTGCCCGTAGTCAATTGAGCGAGCGTATAGCTTGTATACTAGTACAAGCGAAGTACATCTTGGCTTGCCCTGCACGGTGCATCGTCATGCTTCTCTGGCGTTGAGTCTCCCCCGAGTAGGCACGTGGGACCTGACATTTACTCGGCCGTTTCTGAAAGGTCAGCTTTTTATCAATGTAGATTCCCAAGTACAGGTAGGAGCCTGTCCACTCAAGTTCTATATCTGAATACGTAATCTTTCACAGGATCTGGTCCCTTGAACATCATTGCAAGAGATTTCTCGGCCGGATCTAGAGGCTAGTTCCTTGCATTACTGCGTTATTAGTCCAAAGCTCTCTGAGCCTGATCGTTCTAAATTGCCTTCCCATTTCACTACGAGATGCAAGATCATCAGCCATAGCTGAGGAGCTGTGTACCATAATGAAAGGGGGAAGGCTCACAAGTTCCTGCATAAGGATGTTAAACAGGGGTAGGACTGAGCAACCTCCTTGTGGCGTACCCATTTTCCAGGGATTTTAAAGGAAGAGTAGTGTCCCTGAAAGCCCCGACACTAGCCTGCCTGCCCCTAAGGAAGGACTCTATCCAGGCCTGGAGGCGTCCTTTGATTCCCTTCCGAGCTAGTATTGCCAGAATTGCTGTGGGGCTGGCTAGCTCAAATGCCTTTTCAAGGTCGAGGTAAGACGACAATACTAGGGTTTTTTGTTACTTGTCGGCAATCTGGCTTAGTGAGTGGTTATGCACTCTGCTGTACCCACTACTTTGATTGAAGCCAATATGTGATGATGAGAGGGTCCAAGTTTCCATAGGAGGGCGGTTAAAACCCATCTCTCAGCAGTCTTGGCTAAGCAGCTGGTCAGCGAATATGGGTCTCATACTGCCTGGGTCCTTGGGCTTTGGATTTGGTACGATGGTAGCTTTCTTCCAAGCTGCTGGGAGTGTCCTGCCCTCCACAATTGTTAATTACGCTTAGTATGGGCCTCCCATTCCACTCTGCCCAGGCCCGTGCAATCATGGAGTATGTAACACCATCGATGCCCGGGGCAGTTCACCTGTGTTTTAAGGGCCACGTCGGAGTTCCAAGTCCGTGAGGTCTTCATCAGTCACCATCTTCCGACTCACATGCAGCTTGTTCGTTAGCTGGCGCTGTGGCAGAAGATCTGTCTGTATATTCCGGATGTCCTGTGGGAGCTGAGTGGATGCTCCCCTGAAGTGAAAAGCTCCACTGTTCTCAGCTTCTGGGATGGTTCGGGTGGGGCTGGTGGCCTCGGCTTGCTCTTGCATTTGCTATGTTGAGCTTGCCCCATATCTCAGATAAGGTGGTGTGATGGCCCGAATGTGAGCACCACTCCAGCTATTTCTCAGTTTTTACATCTGAGAGAGACTCTGCGGGCATGCTGCACAATGGCTCTTAGAGTGTTCCTGTTCTCTGCCGTAGGGTTACGCCTGTATAGTTCCTAAAAAGAAGTTGAGCGGTGGTTCTGCTCCCGAACTCGTCATTGTAAGAACCACCAGTCTCTTTTGTGAGTGCGTCCTGCGGACTTCTTTGGGAATTGCGCACTCTCCTTGCCTTGATGGAGAACAGTGTTGCTCCTGTTTCAGCGTATCACAGTCTTCAGATAGAGAGATGTGGACCACCAGTCATGATGATACTCCTGGAACACCTTCCAGTGGCCCTCTTTACGTCCCATCTAGGAGGCAGCAAACTGTGGGAGGCTGTGATGTTGAAGGTGGTGATCACTGCAAAAGTGCTGTCATGACAAGGTGGGATGAGTTTCCCATGTGGCTCCTGCTGCGAGTTGTCTTGGACCCGAGGTAGTCGAGGCAGACCACCCAAACAGGTGGGTGTGGGTCTCCATTGTTTAGCAACTTTACCCTCTGGAATATCGTGTAGGA